GCTAGCTCTCCCCCCCGCCCCCGTCCCCGGAGCGGCCACAGGCCTTCCTCCCACCCCAACCCCCACAGCCCCCCTCTCCTCAGCGGCCCGCAGCGCTCCTCACCTGGCCTCCCAGGTCTTTCATGTAGGGTCCCAGCTCACTAAAGAGGTCATAGCCTTGATGGAAGAAGGCCAGGTGGGCGTACATGAAGGACAACATCTAAACGCACAGAAAGACAGATTTTGGAGGCAGCGGCCCACACCGCACAGCACACACTGCACCATGTGATCTCTCCGTTTATTGGAACAGTCATACCCCGCCTTTCTCTCGCAGCTGAAGGCAGCTGACAATTTCAAATTTAAAAAACTACAAATACCTCCTCTGTTAACTACTCCACCCTCCACCCCCCAAAACACCCCTGCAGCTCAAAGCTCGATCAGGAGCCCCCACACGGGGTTGGGTGTGACACCTTCGCTCCGCGTGGGCTCCTCTCCCAGGGCACAGGGCACGGGGGAAGGGCTCACAGCAGACCTCGCACTGGGCTCCGGAGGCCCCTGGGAGCCACCAGAACCACCCCAGCCCAATGGACCTCAGGGGTGACACCCCTCTCCACCCCCAATCCTCTGTGCCAGGGACAGCGGCAAACCCCGTGCCCAGCCAGCCCCGATGCCGCAGGAACTGCCATCAACCAGAACCCACCCCAAGGGAAGCATCAAGCAGGCGGGGGCATCGATGCCACCAACACAAGAGCCCGACCCCGGAGACATTATGCAGGCAAACGAAGCCCGGGCCCAGTCAAGAGTTGCCATCATCGGGGGAGCCGCAGAGACATGTCCCTCAAAAGGGACAGCTGCTTCCGGGGGCAAACTGGCCACTCCCCGTCTCTAACGAGCATCAAGGACCCTCAGGGCCCAACTGGCTGATTAATTCCCACTCAGGAGCTTAACTAAAAAAACAACAACAACACAACCCTGCATGTAGAAACTTACTGATTTTAGGATCTCAGATCTCCTCTTTGATTGAAGAACATTGATCTGGGGGAAAAAACCCAAATGTTTGGTTCATTGTGCCAACAGTGGCTCTGGGAGTTTCCCTGGCAGGCAACGGGGACTGCCAGACCGACAGCGCAGCCAGGTTAAAGGAAAGCCGGGGGGGGGGGGGGGGGGGCACAGACACAGGGCCGGGCTGCACACCAGTGGCAAGCTTTGCCCGCAGCCCCAGAGCGCCCGGACAAAAGCCCCCGTCTCTGGAGGCAACCACCCAAACTCATCCATAAGCCAGCACACACACACACCCACGGCCGATCCCTTCTGACAAGAGATTTTGCCACCACGTGTTGCCTCCGTTCCCACCCACCCACCCACCCCCTACTGGAACTCTGCCGGTCAAGGCCGGGCTGCAGAATCTTCTTGAGGCTCCTTCAGGGAGGGCTTCACCCACAGTCAAGGTCAACGCAGGGGGCAAAACCACAAACCCAAACACCCCCACCGGGAAAGGGGGGGGGAAGAGGACAGAGTGAATTCCTTGAAACCAGTGGAGAGCTGTGGAGCTCTCTTCACACACGGTCCCGCCGCCCGCGCCTTCGTAAGGAAATGGCCCCCAGACCCAACATGTCACCTGAGCCGCTGCCCTGCCTGCCCAGCCTTCAGCGGAGCAGGATTCCTGGAACCCGGCTCTCTATCAAGCAAGGCGGCAGTGGCAGGCACTGGCCACTCCGGCATGGCCCAAGCAGAGGTGTACGCATTTCCCAGGCAGTCCACACTGGGGGGAGGGGGGCGGGGGGGAGCAAAGGCTGAGACCGGAGAGGGCTTCACGGGGGAACTCCCGAGTCACCAGGGACACCCCCCCACCAGCCGGCACACATGCTCAGGCCCACCCTCTCCTCCAAGACAGCAGCAGCTCTGCCCAAGGAGTGCTCCTGGAGGCCATGGGCCCGGCAGCTCTGCAAGGGCCCTCGCGCCACCCCCCCTCCCCTCCCCTGGCTCCCCTTTGCCCAGACAGACACAGAACCCCTTCCCGGAAGAAGGCGGCTTCCAAGGGCCTCCCTCCGCTCACCTGAAGAACGTAGTCAAGGGCGATGTGGCGGAAGCACTTCCGAGTGGCGGTCAGAATGTGGGTGGCCTCCTCCACTTCGTGCTGCTTGTTTCTCGGCACCTGCGCGTTCTTGGCCAGCGCGGTCTCCTTCTCCTCGCTGACCTTCTCAAACTGCTTCTTTGCATCTTTCAGTTTCCTGATGTCTCTGGAGCACAAAGGAAAGGGGCGGCCACCTTCAGTCACGGAGCCCAGCCCTTGCAAAGCGCAGCAGAGAGGGACCCGTCCCTCGTGTGGGAGGTGGGGAGGTGCTCACAGACACACAAGCCACGGACTTCCCTCACACCTTAGGGGAGAAGCAGGGCGGGAGGGCCCCGATCTTCGCTCCAGCCCACAGCTGGGGGAGCCACGTTCGGAGACATCTGTCCACCTGAGCAGGTATCCCCCGCACCGGCCACTAGCACCACCCACCCACACGACTCTCCGTCTCCTAGCCAGGTTCCCACAATCAGATAAAAGCCACGAGAAGCAAAAGTACCATTTAAAAAAGCAATGCACCCTGAGAGACTGGATTCTAAATCTAAGAAGAGCATAACAGCAAGTGCAATATAAAACCTAACTGATCTTATTCAAAAAAAGCCGCATACAACACTGCAGCCTCTCTCCAAGGCCATGAGGGATTTAGCGGCGGGGGGGGGGGGATCATTCCAAGGACAAAAATGGCTGTCAGTCAGCCAAGAAAAAAAGCAGCCGGGGAGAGAAAATTCCGGTGGTGGTGAGTAACCCTGCACCTGGCCCTGAACAGGACTCAAGACTTGGTGTGAGAGGCAGATGATAATAATTGATAAATAATAAAAGCAATGGTCCATCTTGGCACCAATGACATTGGGAAATGCAGCCGCACGTTCCTAGAGGGAAAATGTTGGTTACCAGGCCGAGAGTTAAAAGGCGAGGACCTCCAGGGCAGCATTCTCAGAAGTGCCGCCCATTCCACGCGCAGGGCCAGCCAGATCAGGAGGGGCCTCAGTGTGTGGATGAGAAGGTGGAGCCAGGAGGATTAGGGCTTAGATTTGTTGGGCACCAGGGAACTTTGTGGGACAAGCCGAAGCCGTACAAAAGAGACGGGCCTCACTTGAACCCAAAGGGAACCAGGCTGCTGGTGATTCATATCAGGAAGGTGGCAGAGCGGCTCTTGAGCTAACCCGGGGGGGGGGGGGGGGAAGCCGAGAGGAGCCGGGGAGCCTCCAGTTCGGGACCAGTCAGTCCAAAGGGCCGGCTGCGTAAAGACTCCGGGTGAAATTGTCAGGAGCGCCTTCTGGAACGGGCGGAATAGAAATCTAGATAAATGGATAAAACAACAGAACCTGAAAGTGAGGGCAGGGTGGCCAAGGAGAGCCCCTGAGGGAGGGGAGGGAAATAAGCCACGGGCGTCTCTCTCTCTCTGTGCCAACGAGGGCCAGAAGTCTCCGAGCCAAGAGGGGGGGGAGCTGGAGTGCCGGTGGGACAATCAGCAGGAGACGGTCCTTCCTGAGGTTCCGCCCTGCCGGCAGGCAAGCAGGACGGGGGTGGGTGAGTGGGTGGGGGGGACAATGTGTTGGGGGAAGTGCTGCAGAGTGTATCGAAGGGTGTACAGAGAAGGGAAACACATCAGAAACCACGAGGGGAATCCGCTCCCCAGCAGGTGGGTGGCCTGTGTGGAGAAACTGGGCCCGAAGGGTGACTTGAGAGCGGAGGGCTGCCACTGCCCACCCAGCTGATCCCAAGGTGTGACTAAAGCAGGTGACATCATGATACGGGGGGCCACCACAGCGACCCTCACACACGGACTCTGGGGAAACACGTGCCTGAGGCATGCTGAAGAAATGAGAGCCCCAGACACTGCAAATGAGCGTGAACCGGAACAGCCGGCCCCAGAGCCAACTAGAGGGGTCGTCGTGATCTTGGACTGGGTTTGGAGTGGGGCTCAGAAGTGTGTGGCGCGGGGGGGGGGGGCTGCTGCACCCACTGGGAACGGAGACCACAATGCTATTAAGGTCAGCATTCAGGTCAATGGAAAGTGACCCCCCTGAAGTCCGAAACCGTAGCGTTTGATTTCAAAAGAGGGAGGTTGACAAAAGGGGGGGGGGGATCGTTAGAGGGAAGCTGAAGGGGAAACACAAGAGAGCCAGATCCACAGAGGACGCTTGGGAGCTATTTAAAGCCACACGAATGGAAGCCCAGATCGAATGCATTCCCCGGATTAGGAGAGGCACGGCCAAGTCTCAAAAGGAGGCCTCCGTTCTTAACAACCCATGCCAAGGAAGCCACAAAAAGCAAAAAGGCCTTTTGTTCTTACACACGGAAAGTAAGTGGAAGGGAGCCCAGGGCCTGGCAAAAGATGCGTGAATCAATGATTAGGACTGCAAAGAGAGAAGTTAAGGAGCGAATTGCTAAAAGCATCGAGACAAAACAATGAGCATTTCTTTAAATCTATCCAGAGCAGGAAACCAGCCAGAGAAGCAGTCGGGCCTTTGGATGACCATGGAATAAAGGGGCTGCTGAAGGAAGAGGGGGGGGGGCGGCAGAGAGCTCCAGTCCAGAAGGCACTAGGCCCCAAGGGCCCTTTAAGAAACACAAACCTAACACTATTGATCCGCTAACCACTATGCTGCAACTTCTTGCTAAAAACCGGTCTCCGTGCCAGAGGAGTGGGAAGTTGTCTCATTCATAAAATGCTTATAACCTGTGTGTGTCAGAGACCCCTTTGGCCAACATTTATGAACTGAAAGGCTGTTGCCTCTACTGGAGCACCTTCAAGACCAACAAAATTTGTGGCAGGGAAGGAACCACAAATTTACCTTGCCACAAATTTTGTTTGTCTTGAAGGTGCTCCTGGACTCTTGCTCTTTTCTTGTGATTGCACACTTCACCTTAATATATACACTTTATTCAGCACAAATCTCTGCCAGAAAACCCCCAAACAAACAAAAGTGAACTTACTCTTTAACAAAAGTCTGAAGCTGTGTTTTTATTGATCTTTGCGTTTGGTCAAACAGGATCTGAAACATGAAAAATGCTTGTTGGAGAAGAGCACTGAGAGAGGAGAGAAACGGTGTTGAACATAATATGGCGCATCACAGAACAGCTGGCCTTTAAACTCCAACCAAGGCCAGCCCCTCTCGAGGGTGGACCCCAGGGACGACACACTGACCCACACAGGGAAGGGGAAATCCCTCCTCCCCCCCCGCCCCCCCCCAGGGGTATGAGGGCCGGGGTGTGTGTGTGTGTGTGTGTGTGTGTGTGTGTGTGTGTCCTTCCTGCCTATCTTTTCTGAGGCCCTGGAAAACTTGGAGATTCTGGGGGAACACTGAAAAGAAACTGCTATTTTCTCTTTTAGAGTAAAACTGTTCTTGAAGCAAGTTTTTTCACACTAAAAATGTACAGCAAGAAAACATCTGAGGACTCTCTCCATTTTTCCAATGAAAAAGAAATTGGGCAATTTGAGGTAGCACTGAAGAAACCCTCCTGTAAAAATATTTTCTCTTTTTGAGTGCGCAAAACTTTGTCTTAAAAAACATTTAAGTTATTCTGAGTGAAGTCTGAGGATTTTTTTTTTTTTCAATTTTCCCATGGGGAAATTTGGGGGAACACTGAAAGGAGAGCTGCTAAACACTATAGATTCATGCAAGATTTTAAACAATTTTGGCAACAATTGATGTGCTGGGATGTGTTTCATGCCCCCCCCCCGCAAAGCCCTCCAAACCTTTCCGCCACCCCCCTATAGTCTTTTCGTCCTCCTCCTCCCACTCACCTCAGAGCCTCCGCCGGTTTCCCTTCCTCCTTCATCTGCTCCCTCCTCCTGCCTCAACAACTGCCTCCTGCTTCCTTTTTCAGGGTGTGTTATGAGCCACTTTGGGTTGCTCTAACAACCCCAAGTTCTATTTTATGCAAGCCCCCCCCCCCAATTGATTCCCCCCCCCCATTTTGTATTTTTCTGTGAACCTTCTGCTTACTCCAAGTACGTGGAAAGATATTTCTTTGCTCTGTCAAGTCCCACCGTGCAGATTTCTGCCACACGCGGCTTTTAGCTCCAACTGTGGCAGACAAAACTCTCTGCCCTGCAGTCCGGCCGGCTGGCCAGCTCAGCCCCGCTCCATATCCACCTTCCGTACAGCCAAGACCACCCCCAAAACTGTGCATGCTCTCTGGATGTACCAAGCGGGGGAGGGGGGCACACACAAAGTGACCCTTCACCCCAAAGCGATCTTGCACAAATGTAGAGGGAAAGGAAAGGTTCGGTTGGCACTCTACTAATGTTCAGAGGCTAGCTGTAGGGTTGCAGCTTTTCCAGCTGGACAAACTCAAATTTCTCTATAGTTTACAGCCAGCGAGGCTGGGAGGAGGGCAAAGCCCCATCCTCAGAGGAGGGACACTGAGGACTCCGGCTTTGCCTCTGCAATGTCCCACCAGGCCGAAGGGGCAAAAGGGAAGGACTCCTTTACTGTTCATTTACTTCATTTATTTATTTAAGGTGATGCGCGTTAGGACAAGAAGTCCCACCTTGAAGTACAGGCCAACGGGGCCTGAACATGCTGCGACTGAGAGGGGAAAAGATCTCGGGGTCCTGGTGGAGAGAGCTCTCAGTGAGAGCGCCGACTTCAGAGTGCTGCGGCAGCAAGGAAAGGCAAGCTCTGTGTCAGGGGTTATTAGGAGAGGGACTGAGAGTGAAACAGCTGATACTGTGATGCCCCCTGCAGGGGTGTGTGGTGCAGCAGTTCTGGTCTCCGTATCTCAATAGGGGCATCGCAGGGCTGGGAAAAGCACAGAGGAGGGCAACAAGGATGACTTGGGGGCCGGAGCCTCTTCCCTCGGAGGAAAGGCTGAAGAGTCTCTGGGACTCCTCAGTTTGGGGGACGTGACCGAGGTTTCTGGAATTATGCATGGGGGTGGGGGGGGGGGGGAGACTTGATGAAGAGAACTGTTTTCTCCCTCTCCCAAAATACTAGAACTCGAGGGCATCCAAGGAAACTGATTCAGGAGGGACAAAAGGAAAAACGACTCTATGCAGTGATCAAAATGTGGAATTCGCTGCCGGAGGATGTTGTGATGGCCAGAGGAATAGGCAGCTTTCAAAGGGGGCTGGAAGAAGAAGAAGAAGAAGAAGAAGAAGAAGAAGAAGAAGAAGAAGAAGAAGAAGAAGAAGAAGAAGAAGAAGAAGAAGAAGAA